TTTAAAACAATAACACTGTTAAATGCTGGCTAGGAGGTACAGAGCCCCAGTCATTTGTACACTGGAAGTGCAATACATAAGGTTATCATCAATTTGCCAAATTTTGGAGTTCCTTGAAAATAAATTTAGTGCCATATAACACTTGTCATCCCAAAATGAAGATTATATTTACACCAAAAATCTCCTCACAAATATACACAGCAGTTTTATTTATAACAGTCCTGACTGAAACAATACAGGTATCTTTCAACAGAAAATGTCTAAACAAGCTGTGGTAGGTCCATATTACAGAAGATGCTACATAGCAATAAAAATGGAACTGGCTATAGATACAAGCTTAATAAATCTCCAGAAAATTATGTTGAATAAAAATTTTTTTTTCAAAGGTTGCATACTTTATGATTTTATTTCTACAACATCCTACAATGGTTTGTGTCCCCTCAAAACTCATCTTTAGTATGTTAGTTGGAGATAGTGCTTTTGAGGGCAAAACCCCCAGGAATGTGATGTGTGCCCTTTAAAAGGAAACTCAAGAGTTCCTTCACCCTTTCCACCAAAGGGAACACAATAGAAACATAGCCCTTTCTAACCAGAAGTGGTACTTCACCAGGCACCATGTCCACTGGAGACTTGACCTGGGACTTTCCAATTTCTCTTATTTTCAGTCTACCAAGACTGTGGCATTCTGTATACCAGTCAACATGTACAAAGACACAAGTAGCCAACATTTCCTGTCAGGAAGTTTGGCATTTATTTAATGTGTAACAATCCTGTATAGAGTTGTCAGGCATGGTGGTGCATGCTTTTAATCCCAGCACTTGGGAGGCAGAGACAGGCAGATCTCTGTGAGTTCACCAGCCTGGTCTACATAGTGAGTTCCAGGACAGCTGGGGCTACAGGGAGACTCTGTCTCAAAAAGACCAAAAAAAAAAAAAAAAAAGAAAAAAGAAAAAAGAAAACCCAACAATCCTGTATAGAATGTTAGCAGCATTATGCCACATGGGCTATTAAATGTTGGAACATCATTAAACACAATTCTAAAAAGAAAAAAGTTCTGCCAGAAAACACCAGTGCTAACATCTCAGAAAGAAGTATCATGCTTGGTACCCAGAAGAAGCTCAATGTCATAATCAAATCTATCCAGGCTTCCACACTTAGGATGCTTGTAAATCAATCAAGTTAATTCTGGCTCTATCAAGAAGCATGACAAATACAGAGTGATGACTTGAATCCTTGGGTCTAGCTCAGTTCCTGATCTTCTCAACCCCTAATGTATCAATGAGGATGCAGTAGGTACCAAATATCCTGGGAAAGAGGAAACCTGGATTAAACTGTCACTTTTATTGAGACCTATGGACTCTGTTCAGTTGCCCATCTTGAAAATGAAAGGCACAATCAACTCTATGCCTGCAGTCTTTCTCCCATGTTAGAATATTCCCAATGTCCATTGCCAGTGTCTAAAATCACTCAAAACAACTAGCTATCAATGAGCTACTGATTAGATAATAATTAGCTTTGCTCAGTGGAAGATTATGCCCAACAAAAAAGAAGAGAAAGAATCACATATCCTGACATGGAAAAAAATTCAAGATTCCATTAGTTTAAAAAATGCAGTTTTTACTAATACACTGCTAGGGATATAGCACAGTTGGTAGAGTGCTTGTCTAGAAAGCAGGAAGCCCTGGGGTGGAGGCAGGGGGATCAGAAGTGCACAGTCATTCTGGGCTACATGGTAAGTTTGAAGTCAGAGTGGGTTACAAGAGACTTTGTCTCAAAAACCCTACTCTCCAAACAGATGAAAACAATAGTTTTAATAGTCCATGTTATAACATAAAGGTGATAACATACTATTTACATCAGAAAAGGACAAAACAATACATGGCAATTCTTTCTGGGGAGTGAGAACGCAGGATTTTTAAATTTTTATACTTTTACTCTATCGGAATTTTTTACATGTGTTAATGACTTAAGGAAACAAAAATACTTAAAGATAAGTCAGTTGGGAAGCTTTCTGGCAATGACTCAATTCACAAGAATGTACCTCTCTCCAGTAGTATTTCAGGAACATATCTACAAAGTACTTTTATGTAGAAGTCTATTACTGTATAGTGTGAATTGAGTATACATTTTATATGCTTTTTAAAAGTTTCACAAATTCTAATCTAAAATCTCGTGGGTCCACGTAAAACAACAAATCCTGACAAATAAAAGTACTAATTATGCCCTCTGTGGACAAATTTTGAGTAAGGTATGCAGATAAAGGCTCATAATCAGATTTAAAAAGGAAATAAGCATTCCAGGTTGAACAAGAACAAATCAACTTCTGAGTTCTAAACACTTCTTATATCCACCCAGAGAGGCAGCAATAAAGGGAAATAACCACATTCAGCTGTAGGTTTTGCTCCCTTAAGATGTGAAATGGTGTCATCAGTGTGATAAAGCTAATGACCGACCCATCAGGCTCCAAAGTTCCTCTGTTGCTGAAATCATCTCAGGGTCAGAGCTTGGGCCCCAAGTGTCCTAAGGAGCTAGGCCCAAGCACCTATCCTCAACAGGCCAATCAAACAGACAATAGTGAAAAGCAGAGATTTATTCAACATGACCAACACTGGGGAGAGGAACAAAGAGGTCGAGAGACTTGCCCTCTCCAAGTCCATCTTCTGGGTCCTGACATGAGTTTTTAGATTTAACTAGAGGGCAAGATGTATGCTTAGCTAAGCAGTTCTGGTCATTATATCCAGTCTCTCCTGTAAAGTGGTCTGACAGGTTGTGTCAGAAGTGTATAAAATCTCTTTCTGGGAGAGAAGCTGTCTCCTGCTGGTACCAGGCTTCACCCTTTTCCTCCTCCCTCTGGGGAAATTCCAGTTTATTGGGGTGTACTTTCAATAATCTGGCAAGCAAAGGAAAGGGCATAAATGTCTCATTAGAATACCTTCATTTCTTCTAGAATGGTTATACCTCCAATGTCCCTACCATGACTAGGATAGACCCTCTCATGATTTAATAATGACTAGTTGGTGATTTTTTTAAGGCCATGTTAAGAATTTTCCTGAAAGCTCTATCTGCAAAGTTAAAACAGAATGTACCACTCAGTGTCCCCAGGTACAAGAGAATGACAGAGGCTATAATCTCTGATACTATGGTAACAGAAGAGGGCCAAAAAGCAGGGCCCCACTTTACTGTTAGACTGAGTCCTTCTAACCATGACCATTTTAAGGGTAGGCACATGTGATGCCTAGGGGGCTATATTCCTAAATATACAATCTGCTACATGGCTCTTGTAATTTGAATGTGGATCTCTGTGTGTTTTTCATTTTGTAGGGGGTTATGGAAATCAGGTGGCTGATTCTGGTCCCTCACATATAGAGAAAAGTGACAAAGGCTGAAAACAGTGGCAGGAGGGACAGGTAGGCTCTGGCCTCAGCTCTGACATGCACAGTTGCATAGCTGAGGCAGGTCACTTTCCTCTGAGCTTCATTTTTTTGTGTATGTGTCTATGAGTGTGTGTCATGCCGCCTGCATGTGTGTGTCTGTGTGTGCATACATGCGTGGGTGTGCCTGCATGTGTCTGTGCATACGCATGGTATTAAAACATCTGTGTGTGCTTGCATGTGTGTCTATATGTCCATGTGTGCTTGCCTGTATGTATCTGTGTGTGTGTTTGTGCATGCATGTTTGTGTATGGACATGTGTGTCTGTGTGCATTTATGTCTGTGTGTACATGCATGTCTGTGTGTCCATGCATGTGTGTATGTCCATGCATGTGTGTGCACGCATGGGTGTCTGTGTGTATGCACATGGGTGTATATGCTATATACACTTGAGAAAACTCAGTCTTTGTTAACCTATTATACTCCCAGAAATAAGAGTAGCTCAAAATGATACTAATATCAACGTATAGGGCTGGGTATTTTTAAGAAAAAAACACCCTAACAGGCTGAGAGTGGGGCTGCATGGGAACAGGAATGTCCTTCACGGAGTTAATGCTGCCCTGCTGAGCCTGTGCAGCTTCAAGGAGACTGTGTCTGTGCTGAATGGGAAAATCTACTACTCTGGTCATTCATCCCCACTGGCTTTTAGTAAATGCCAGTGTTCACACAACCACTATTACACAGCCCTCTAGTTTCCCCTCTGTGGCATTGCTGCACCAGCATTATAATTTCCTGAAGAAAAAAAAAAAGCCTTAAAACTTAAATTTAGTGTTTAATCGTGGCCTGAACTCAGAGGACACTTGTTCATTCCCCTAGACATCTCTCGGAACCATCTATCTTCCTCCCCACTGCTGATGGTACTGTCTTGCTAGAACTCTCTTCCAGAGTTGTGTTTCCAAGGCAGGGTCCTTGGAACACAAATTTTATTCAAAATGGTTTTTCAAGCTTCAGTTGGCTTGGCTCCACCCTCATCTTGAGACCATCCAGGCCTTTTCATCCCTAGTTCCAGAATATCTCATTCATCCAAGGTCATACATCCTTCCGAATCTCCACTGTGTGCTATAGACATGGGGCATGCATTTCAGCATGTTGACATGTTAATTCTCAAGGGTCCACCTCCACCCACATCCTCACATCTACACTGCCTAGAGCCCGCCTCCACCCCACATCCTCACATCCAAATTGCTCAGGGTCTACCTCCATACCCACATTCATTCATTCATCTCACCATTCATTCATTCATTCATTCATTCATTCATTCATTATCTTTTTGGGTGGAGTATCAAATTGAGGTTGCCTATGAAATAAAATCAGATGCCCATGTCACAAGACATAAGAGTAAGAAGGTTTTGCTAGAATCAATTAAAAGTCATTAGTTCAGATTATGTCCAATTATAAAATTACGTCCACTTTATATTCCCACACTCCTCACACACACAGGACTCCCTAAATTGGCACATTGCCAAAGAGGAACGCTTCATTAGAATCTGTTAATGCTGAATACATTTTCTGTTCATTTCTTTCTTTTTTAACACATACAAGGAAAATGATCAAGAGCATACACATTACCTTCTTAACTTTCACACCTTCTTTTGGGGTTTGTTTTGTTGCTAGATTATACCCAATCATCTGCTGAGCCAGCTTTCCCACCACATTAGGGCTAAAAGAGAAAGAGAGACAAAGAAAGAAATAAAATTAGCATGTATTGTAAATCATTGTGCAGCAGAGTCCATATCCTCACACCCACACTGCCCAGGGTCCACCTCCACCCCACGTCCTCACACCCACACTGCCCAGGGCCCACCTCCACCCCACATCTTCACACCCACACTGCCCAGGGCCCATCTCCACCCCACATCCTCACACCCACACTGCCCAGGGTCCACCTCTACCCCACGTCCTCACACCCACACCGCCCAGGATCCACCTCCATCCCACATCCTCACATCCACACTGATCAGGGTCCACCTCCACCCCATGTCCTCACACCCACACTGCCCACGACCCACCTCCAACCCCCATCCTCAGGTCCATGCTGCCCTCAGAATGCACGGATCTTTCCATTTACATTCTGTGTGCCTACTGCTGTCACAGAAAGTCACTGAGAATGAAATGTAAGTGGTAAATGAATGAATGGATACAGATCTCTGCTACCTTCTCCCTCTAGATAAATTAGTCACCGTAAACCCACAATGCTGAAATGCATACCTCCACCCCACATCTTCACACCCACACTGCCCAGGGCCCATCTCCACCCCACATCCTCACACCCACACTGCCCAGGGTCCACCTCTACCCCACGTCCTCACACCCACACCGCCCAGGATCCACCTCCATCCCACATCCTCACATCCACACTGATCAGGGTCCACCTCCACCCCATGTCCTCACACCCACACTGCCCACGACCCACCTCCAACCCCCATCCTCAGGTCCATGCTGCCCTCAGAATGCACGGATCTTTCCATTTACATTCTGTGTGCCTACTGCTGTCACAGAAAGTCACTGAGAATGAAATGTAAGTGGTAAATGAATGAATGGATACAGATCTCTGCTACCTTCTCCCTCTAGATAAATTAGTCACCGTAAACCCACAATGCTGAAATGCATAATAGATACAGCTAAGCACTGAAGGAACATTGATAGTGGATGGATTGGGACACAGTGAACAGAGAGGAAGCAGAATCACCACAATTAATGCAAAGACATGCAATGGGAGGAGTATAGAGAGCTTGACTGGAGCATGATGCTGAGAGAGGCTCAGCTGAAGGCATGGACCATCAGACAAGGAGCATACAGATCATAGGGAGCTACTGCACATTCTTGACTGTGGGACTGGCATTACAGAAATAACATTTCGTTGGCAAGCGGTACTATTTCCCACATTTATGATGAATAGTCGATTGTTTAGGAGAAAGGAAGTCTAAAATTTCCCTCAATTAGGGACAAAGAACCCTTCCATGAGAGCAGAAGGGAACAGGGGCACTGCCAAAGCCCTCCATTTTCCTCTACCTGGTACAGTGCTCCTATGCCAACCCTACTCAGGAAACCTTTCAGCCACACCAAGATCTTCCAAAGATGAGGAGCTAATTTCTCCAGACTTACTCTTTTGTTAAATGAACACCTCCTTTCAAACCACTATTGAAGACACCTTTTCCTCTTCCTCCAGCTAAGATCTGGGCTTTTAAAACAATTTCTTTTGCATCTGAAAAAGAAAAATGCAGACAGTAGTTGGTTTTAAATTCTTTTCTCTATCTCTTTAAAGAAGCAGGAAAAGCAGTAATGACATATAACTTCCAAGTGACAGGTGAAGGCACTCCTAAATCAACTCTGAAAATAAAGGAAAGGAAGAACTTAAAAAATTATTAAAAAACATAAAGCTTGTTTGCCGAGGTTATTCAAATGCATCTCAGCAGTTTAAGCAGCTGATACCTACACTTCCCTGGAAAAAGCAAGGCATGTGCTCCCTTGGTTTTCTGCATGTGTCATAGATGCTAAAGAAACCCAGGAAGGGAGCATTAATTTTACTGTGTAACAACAATCCATGTGGCAGAAACACAAATCTGTCAGTCAGGGGCGCTAAGGACCCATCAGCCTTTAAGATGTCAAAGGGAAGACTGGATTAGGCAGGGAAAAGGTTTAAAGACAAGACACAAAGGCCACATTTAATAACTGTATTCTTGGAAACCAATAGTTTTCTGAGCAAGTTGTTCTATATATTGACAAAGCTGGCCAGGAAAGGGGGAAACGAATTAAAACTAAAAGTGAGCAATATTTTTAAAAAATATTGGCAAGATGAAAAAAATATCCTGGAGGAAAAAGAGTTTTGGAATATTTGTTTCTCAACTCACTCAAAGAAAGAGTGAATTGTCTATTGCTGACCTTTTAGACCAGAGTTATAAACTCAAATATGTTTATGGGTCTGGCATGAAAGTTGGGTGAGAAAAGTTATCTAGTGATAAATGGGGTCTTTAGCAAAGAGGAGAGTTCTATTTCCTACTAGAAGGGGTGGGAGAGGGGTATCGGCCTCCAAATCAAATGTATTTAATAAATCAGACAGCACACATCTTAAACTACAGCCAACATTGTGTTTGTAAGTTATTTTTACTTAAAGTCAGAGAACCAGGGGGTGGAGAGATGACTCCCAGCTTAGAGCACTGGCTGTTCTTGCAGAGGACTCAGGTTCGATTTCCAGCACCCAGAGCAGCTAACAACCATGTGTGACTATAGTTCCAAAAGATCTGATGCCCTCTTCTGGCCTCTTCAGGCATTGCATGGTTGTGGTGTGTTTACACACATGCAGGCAAAACACTGATACAATATATAAAAATAAATAAATAATTTTTAAGTCAAAGAACCAAATATGGGGCTGAAGAAAGGGCTCAGTGGTTAAGAGCACTGGCCGCTCTTGGAGAGGACCTGGGTTCAGTTCCCAGCACCCGCATGGCAGCTGACAACTGTCCATAACTCCAGGTCCAGGGGATCTGACACCCTCTTCTTGCCTCCATGGGCACTGCACGACAGAGGTGCACTCACAAACGTGCAGGCAGGTAATACACTCATACACATAAAAAACAAAAATAAATTAAAAAAAAAGAACTGAATCAGACAATCTTCCATTACATGGCCTTGGTTTCCTTATTAAGCACCTGAGGTTGGACATTTAATTAAGGCCTGTCCTTATCCTTCACTTAGCTGGGCAGGATGACTCTGAGACTCAGTTTACTAAGACAATAATGAGAATTGTTTTACAAATTAGAGGAGAAAAGGCTAGAGGGCAGGTGGCTTACTTGGTGAAATGCTTGGCATGCAAGCTTGTGGAAGCGTTTTGATACCCAGTGCACACATAAAAAGTCAGGTACAGCAGCACACACCTGTGATCCTAGTGCTGGGAGGCAAAGACCCGAGGATGACCAGAGCTCATTTTCCAGCCTGCCAGGTCGAATCAGTAAAGCTCCAGGGTCAGTGAGAAAATGAGGTGGAACGTGACTGAGGAAGATACCCACCATTGACCTCTGATTTACACACACACTATTAAAAATTAAAAAATGAAATTTTAAAACAAGAAAGTAATTAGAAGAAAAAAGCAATACACAAGAATGCTTTATGCAAAAGCTAAAAAACACATGAGTAAAGATTATTGCTCCTGACCAATTAATTTATCGTCTCTGTGAATTAAAAGAATCAAAAGGATCATTTCAGAGATGGCATGTTTGTTGACATGTGCCATCATTCATTGTGAGCTCTATCTATAAGCTGCTTTTCAGCCAGGACTGTCATTGTTATTCACAGGCAATCAGGCAAAGGTTCAAGGTGAAAGAACCATAAGGGTTTTATACTGAAGGGAATGGGGAGCTATAGACAGATGTTCACCTGGCCAATGCTACTCCCTTCTCTTAAATGGACTCACACTAAAAGAACCAAGGTTCAGCATCTTTGCAGAAACACACAAAGCTCCTTCTTAGAATACAGTTCTTTCCAACCCTTGACAGTTGCTTCTACCCTGGATAAGAAGCCATCATATAATCAGTCAAGCCCTGACTTTCAACAAGCTGGTGCCCAACAAGCTGAGTGAAAACAAATTACAGTCACTGCTTATTATCAGAAACTCATCAGAAGAGGAACCCGCTACTGTAAGTGTGAGGATACTGGAACTAAGAAGGCCTAGGTTAAAATGTCCAACTCTAGGGCTGGGGCTGTATGCAGCTCAGCAGGAGAGAGCTTGTGAGCACCCATCCTCAGTCAAATGGATTCCACACTCAGTGCATAAAAGCAGTCAGCAAAACTCCAACCCTTCCTTCATGTCACTTTCTTTGTAGAGAAGATGCAGAAGTGTTATGAAGATGCTTGTCTGTAGAGAGGTCGTATTAATGGGACCTACAGCACTACAGTAGTGCGAAGAAAAACGTGACAAGGCAGCTGATATGCTTATCTCAATACCTGGTGCATTTATAAAACAAAGTATGATAGCCATCATCATTAGGATTGTTTTCAGTAATTGCCAAAAAGTGGTCTATCAGAAGACATTTCCTATTTGTCTTCTGAAAGCATCAAGTGGAAAAAGTAGTTTCTACTGTCTACGCAAAGCCTTAATTATGATCACTTCAAATTCTTTAAAAGGTTCAGAGCATCCCACTACCATGATCATTTTTCATGTCCCTGTCACCCAGAGGAGAGATGCTTTCCTCTCCACACTTTCTGGCAGCACAACTGGAAAGCCAGGCAACACACCTAATTGGCCACTGGAAATTAGCACTTCAAAGGCTGAGTTAATCAGGTTTAGTCACCAACCCCCAAGACTCAGAAATGGCTGGAGCATGGATACAATATCAATGAACTTGCTACCATTTGCCATCCTGTGGAAAGGGCTCCATGCCACCCAAATGGTAAGAAAAGCGGCCATTTTAAAGACTAAAGCCATATAGTAGGGCAACAGTATCTGCTTTTGTTTGGTTGGTTTTGTAGTAGTAGAGATTGAAACCAGGACCTTTGTTCATGCTGTGGATATGCCCTATCCCTGAACCACACTCAGTCCCATGAATCAGTGCAAAGAGAAAAGAGAAAAGAAAGGGCTATTTAATCTACATATCCTGTTATTCAAATTCCAGTCTAAAATAAGCTCACTAAAATTACTGCAAGTTCAAAGTACAGTTAGTAAGCAGCCCACTTATAGGCCATTTTCCCTTCTTGAAGAAAAACTCAAGAAGTGGTCTAATTCAACTAGTATTTACTAAAGACACTAAAAATAAGTGGGGGGGGGGGATTCTACTTGACAGTAACCAGTCTTTTCCTTCCATGTTTACCAAGCTGGTTCCATTTAATGTCAGCTTCTATTTCACCTAAATATCTGATTTTCAAAAAACAAAAACTCAAATTAATTTGGTTTTCTTACTACTACCTCCTGCCCCTGTACCAATCAGAATTACAAAGCAACAGTCCAAGCATGTAATTCAACATTTTTCTGAATAAACAATATAATTTAGCACGGGACAACAAGCTAGAAGGTGGGGAAATCTACTTTAAATGGATTGTCTATAGAAACAGATTGCACATAAACATCAATAAGCATATTAATGGACTGGAGTTGGTATAACTTTAAAGCTCTTGATCCCAAGGGCTTTTATATATAGTAACCTAAACATGCAACACATTTACCGTATTCTATTCCTGTCCCAGTGAGTTCCTGATAATGAACAGCATGTTCATATGGAAAATAGTCATATACATATTTGATAAACCTCTACAAATCCATGTAAAATTCTCAAATACCCTATAACCTTAGAGAACACTATTTAGTGCCACTTAGCCTAAAGGCAACCCCATCCCATGTTCTTACTTACAATGGCTAGGCTATGATCATTCTTGAGGACAAGTGTTATTATAATTATAATACAGTTTTATACCAGTTTTATAGTCCCCCAAGTCTCATGCTGGATAACGAATGCTCTTGGAAGCATTGTTAAATATAAATGGGGAAAAAAATTAAATTCATTAAGGAAAGCACACTAAATAAAATCACTAAGAAATGTTGTCAGGCAAGTTTTGTAAAAATGGTATGCTTTGTTTTTCAGAGGTAGCATTCTGAAAACATATTTATACAAAACAATATTCATGAGACATAGCTCATGACCACAGGCGGGCCACAGTAAAGGTCTGAAAATGTAAATCAAGAATGTCTAAGAGTAAATTATTATCAACTATCTTTTAAATATAGTGTGCCAGGGGGCTGGAGAGATGGATCAGCCATTAACAACACTGGCTATGTTCGAATCCCAGCACTCACATGGCAGCTAACAACTCTCCATAACTCCAGTTCCAGGGGATCTGAAAGCCTCTTCTGTCCTCTGCGGGCACTGCACGACACAGGTGCACTTACCTACATGCAGGCAATACATGCACACACATAAAATAAAGAAAAATAAGAAAATATTTAAAAAAATAGTGAGCCAAGGAATCTAGCTCTTGTATAACCAAGCTGGTTTTTATTATGTGTTGCCTTGTTTCTAAATACAATACTTCCCAAAATGCAAAATATAGCAGCAGTGTACACAGAAATATGGTAATGAGATGGTGATGCAGTGGTCATATACTCAAGTCAGTGACACTGGACTTGTTGAAGGAACTCTAATTTCTATGGTTTACCTACTAGAGCAAAGTGGGAATACCCAGTTTCTTATGCAAGTGTGCTGCATGATTTCTGCATGG